TAGCGCCTGTCAGGCCAAGGCTACTGTTTCTCTGCGTCCCTGCCTCCCATGCTAGCTGCTGCTGCCATAGAGGCCCTCAGCATCATGCAAGAGAATCCAGGTACACTTTTCTTTCTGTTCACATCAGGCACTCTTGTGCCAAAATTACATTAGTTCTTGAGGCAAAAAAAGTTCCTCTGGCCCATTGTTATTTTGGATCCACACTGCAGCAGAGGAACATTTAAGTAGTGTATGCAAATCAGGCATGCGCTGCAGCAGTAGTAGATGAGTTTATTTGCATGTACGCCACCATTGTTACAATGCATTCTGGGTAGTGACCTTGAATGGTGTCTGCCCATATTGCTGTTCTCTGCCCAGCATGGCAAAATAAACTGCTGCTCTCGTCGTAAAAAGTAGTCAAAATGCCACTGTGCGCAACTTTTGGATGTCATTTTCAATCAAAGGGAAATACAGTAATCAAAACGTAAGGAAAGGATGGAAGGAAGTAAAGAAAATGTTGGAAGGGATGCGGTTGGAAGAGTCACGCTGCCCAAAGACCCCCAGCTGTGTTCTCGTCGTGTGTCTGGCGATAAACGTCGATCATTCCAATGCCTAAAAAGCTGGTCAACACCTCTTGCTAGCACACTGCAGCTAATAAATTAACATATCGTCGCTGTCCTGTGAAAAACACAAATGATGTTGTCTTTAAAAATGTTTACGTTCATGGGATGTCCGCATTTCGGCAGCGTACCAGAAGCAAGCTCATTAAGTGAAACGTTTGCTTTCAAGTCAAGGTATCGCGATACCGGTTCACTGTTACAATACCTTTAGAGAGTTTTTGCAAGTCCCATTAGGTCATCTTGATACATCGAAAATGTGACAATTTTAAAAAGACTGAGCGGTTGTGCTCTGATTTGCAGACATATTCACCGTTCTGAGGAAGAAATGCACATATGTTTACAAAGAATTAAAAGGGTATGTATTCTACCATTATTATATCTTTTCTTCAATTTCAATTCAT